TCAAGGAAGTCACTTAACAATGTTACTAAGATTGGTTTAAATACAGTTGAAATTTATGTTTGTTTGTTTAATTTTTTTTGGAAAATTAATGTTAACAAATTGGGGGGGGGGGAAACACGTGTATAAGAACATCAGAACTGCACCACTAACGGGGCCAGAAGTCCGCACTGCTCAGCATCCTACTTTGAACAGCGACTACGCCGGAGGCCTCCAGGAAACTGGGCACGTAGAGACGCCCCTCTGTCGAGCCTGCGCTGTGGTTCCGAGGTAGACTCCCCCTGTATCTGGAGGCTCCATTTAGCCGCCGGGCCTACCGCTTCTTCCCTTTCCTACCCTCCCCACATCGCTCATGGCGGGGCTGGGGGCTCACCGTCGGTCACAGGCGCGGGCCACGGACCAGGTCGGGGAGTCGTTCCGGGGTCCGGCAGCTCCGAAGGGACGGGCACCCCCGCCGCGTCTGTCGGACTGGGCTTGCTGCTGGCGGGGCCCGGCTCGGAAGTCCACGCAGGGCTGCTGGCGGGGCCCGGACTAGAGGAGGCCTGGCCGGGACTAGGGGTCGGGTGAAGCGGGGTACCCGCTGTCGGTGCCCCCGACGTGGCCTCATCCCAGCCGGTCGGGGGCTCCGAGGTGGCCGCGCTCGTTGGCGCGTCCGTGGACGAGGACAGCGGCAGTAGAAGGCAGGCCGCGAGGAGCCCCGGAAAGAACCGCAGCGGCGACCCGGGGCCCATCCCGCCTCCCCGTGAGGCCGCCGCGGCCTAGGCAACGGCGGACGCCCGCCGGGCGGTAGCTATGGAGACGGCGCAAGGCACGACGGGAGCCTCGCCAAATCCCGCTGCAGACTTGAAGCCGGCGGCGGCTCCCGCAATCACTTCGTGTAGAACAGCGCCGCCCCCGAGGCATCATGGGAAGGAAATACAAGCATGGCGCTGTTGCTGTGGCAACGACCTTGAGGCCCAATGTTGTTGTTTAGTCGTGTCCGACTCTTCGTGACCCCATGGACCAGAGCACGCCAGGCACTCCTGTCTTCCACTACCTCCCACAGCTTGGTCAAACTCATGCTGGTCCCTTTGAGAACACTGTCCAACCATCTCGTCCTCTGTCGTCCCCTTCTCCTTGTGCCCTCCATCTTTCCCAACATCAGGGTCTTTTCCAGGGAGTCTTCTCTTCTCATGAGGTGGCCAAAGTATTGGAGCCTCAGCTTCAGGATCTGTCCTTCCAGGGAGCACTCAGAGCTGATTTCCTTAAGAATGGAGAGGTTTGATCTTCTTGCAGTCCATGGGACTCTCAAGAGTCTCCTCCAGCACCAGAATTCAAAAGCATCCATTCTTCGGCGATCAGCCTTCTTTATGGTCCAGCTCTCACTTCCACACATCACTACTGGGAAAATCATAGCTTTAACTATACAGACCTTTGTTGGCAAGGTGATGTCTCTGCTTTTTAAGATGCTGTCTAGGTTTGTCATTGCTTTTCTCCCAAGAAGCGGGCGTCTTTTAATTTCATGACTGCTGTCACCATCTGCAGTGATCAGGGAGCCCAAGAAAGTAAAATCTCTCACTGCCTCCATTTCTTCCCCTTCTATTAGCCAGGAGGTGATGGGCCCAGTGGCCATGATCTTCATAAGGCCCAATAGTAGGCCCAATTGCAGGTCCAATTGCCAACAGCGAGTTTTCCAGGCTGAAAAGGGATGGTGGCGTCTGCAGCAGCCTGCATGCCAGTTGCATTGCTCAAAGTGCCCCCTTGCTCCCCTTTTGCAAGAGCAGAAGCAGGCCATGCCATCCCACACACTGGACCAGCTTTGGCCCAAGTGCTTCCAGCCGTTGACCTTGACCCTAAGCACCCCAATACATGCAGGTAGACTGAACTTTAATTTTCCAATCCAGCCACTCTGCCCTTACTGTCAGAAAGTTCTTCCTGATGCTTAGCTGAAATCTCCTTTTGTGTTACTTGATGGTTCAGGTCCTTGCCTCCAGGGCAGGAGAAATCAAGCTTACTACATCTTCCATGGGGCAGCACTTTAGGTATTTGAAGATGACTATCATATCCTATTCTCCTCTTCTCGAGGCTAAACATATCCAACTCCCTCAACCATTCTAATAAGGCTTGGCTTCAGACCCTTGATCATCTTGGTCACTCTCCTGTGCACCCATTCCAGCTTGCCAATATCCTTACACTGTGGTGCCCAGACCTGGGTACAATATTCCAGATGTTGTCTGACCAAGCAGAAGAGAGTGGTACAATTACCTTCTCTTGACCTTGATGCAGCCTAGAATAGCATTAGATTTTTGTGATGTTGCATCACACGGTTTGACTAATGTTAAGCTTGTGGTCTTTTAATGTTGACTTGACCCTTAAATCCTTTTTACATGTACTTCTGGCAAGCTAGGTGTCCCCGATCTTATACTGGTAAATCTGGTTATTCCTGCCTAAGTGCAGAACCTTACAACTGTCCCTACTGAAATTCATTTTGTCAGTTTGAGCCCAGTTCTCCAATTTGTTAAGGCCATTTTGAATCCCGATTCTGTTTTCTGCAGCATTAACTACCCTTCCCAGTTTGGCGTCATTTGCAAAGTTGATGTGCACCCTCTCACTTCCTTCGTCCAAGTCTTTTATAAATACATTGAATGACAGGCCTGGGACAGAGCCCAGTGGTCACTTTTTCCCAGGATGACGAGGAACCATTAGTGAGCACTTTGTTTTAAGTCAGCCAGTTAAAAATCCACATGTTACCCTATGCAGCCCACATTTTACCAGCTTTTTCCACAAGAATATCATGGGGGGCTTTGTCAAAAGCCTTACTGAAATCCAGATAAACTATGTCCACAGCATTCCCCTGGTCCACCAAGCCTATAATTCTATCAAAAAGGGAAATGAGATCCATCTGGCATGACATATTTTTGAGAAACCCATGCTGGGTCTTAGCAATCAAATAATCCTTTTCTAAGCACTGACAGACTGTTGAATTATCTGTTCTAGGACCTTTCCTGGCCCTAGAACCAGGAAAGCTCACTGGTCAGTAGTTGTCTAGGTCTTCTTTCCCCCCCCTTTTTGAAGATGGGGAAAACATTTGCCTGCCTCCAATCTGTAGGGACCTCACCTGTTCTCCAAGGATCCTCAGAGATTATAGACAGAGGCTCTTGGATTGCATCCACAAACTCCTTTAGTAATCTTGGGTGCAGCTCATCAGGTCCTGGAGATTTGAATTCATTTAAAGTAGCTAGGTATTCCCTTACTACCTCTATTTCTATCATTCTCTGTCTGATGCCGGCGGTGTGCAGGAAATGTGGGTTTCTACATACTGAGCATATAGAAACTTCTTTTTATGATTATGGAAGAAATTAATTATATCCCTGCAGATGGCTTCCTTCCTGCTCCACCTCACTGATCAAGTCCCCCCCCCCTTATAAATGCTCAGCCACTTCAGTATCTGAGCAGCAGAGGGCGCACTGGAATATGTTTTGTTCATTCACAGGAGACTTCGAATAACATCTAAATAGCAAAACTTCCAGTTTATAGTTAATTCTGTTTGCGTGAGAGTATAATATTTTCCAGAAGTCCCAAGCTGGCAGAGGACAGCAGTGTGAGCTGATTATTACTCATACTGCCCATTGCCAGTGTGACTCACACCTGACCTAACCCAAGAAGGATCACTCTTCAATGGTGCAAGTCTTTTCTCTCTGTTGAAACTGTTGGCCACTTTCTGATACCACAGCCAACATCATCATGTGTCTAACACAGGGGTAGGCAACCTAAGGCCCGGGAGCCGGATGCGGCCCAGTCGCCTTCTCAATCCGGCCTGCGGATGGTCCGGGAACCAGTATGTTTTTACATGAGTAGAATGTGTCCTTTTATTTAAAATGCATCTCTGGGTTATTTGTGGGGCCTGCCTGGTGTTTTTACATGAGTAGAATGTGTGCTTTTTTTGAAAATGCATCTCTGGGTTCTTGCACTCTTCGAAAGGAGTGCAAGATAATTGCACCTAAGCAACGGCAACCACAGTGATCAAGGGGATGAAGGAATTCCCTCTACAAGGATAGCTTGCAGCATCTTGAGACTTTTTAGTTTAGAGAAAAGGTGACCAAGAGTGACATAGTTCAGGGATATAAAATAATAGTTTTTTCTCCTCTCATAACACTAGAACTTGTATAGGCCAGAGATCATTAACTTTTTTGCATCCTGAGAGTCGCCTTTTCTTCTATGAACAATCTTCAAGGGGCTGCCTGCCCATTGGCAAGGCAGGGGCCAGAGGTAGAAATGGACAAAGCAACAACTGGGAAGTTTACCACTGTGAAGTAGTCTAGTTTCAACACAAACACACAACTCTATTCTCTATCCAGGCAAGCAGGAAGCATTATCAAATTTCAAGGGCGTACTCCAGCTTGGCAAAAATGCTCAAGGAAACTGCAAAGCATATCTGGTGAAGGGTGTGACCTGGGGAAAGAGGGTGTTGTCTAGGGAGCGCCCCAAGGGCCAGATAGAGCACCCTGGAGGGAAACGTGGCCCCTGGGTCTCAGGGTCCCCAGCCCTGATATACACTATAAGCTCCTAAGGGCAGGGTCCTGTCCCACTTGTGCTGCAAAGTGCACATGCACTGATGACAAATGTATAAACAAATTGTGATGTTCCCTTGAAAAACAAACTAGTCTAAAATGTTCTTTAAAAGTCCCAAATTGGCACCAACAGGAGATCAAAGTTCGTCTCCTTGGTGACTGTACGTGAGCTGAATCCTCCCCACTCAAAGTCCACATGCCCTTTCTACCCAATCAATTTAAATTGCAAAACAAAGTCTTGCTGGGAATTTAACTCAAATGAGCCATGCAGAGTAAGAAAAGTGATATTATTATTTTTTAAGATTCCTAGCAGCTGCACAGTAGCCCCCTGGGAAATCAGAAAGGGGGCCTGACATTGAACACAACCCCGGACTCCTCCTTGGGATTTGGGTTTAAGAAACGGAACCTGCCATGCTAGCGGAATACTCTGCAAAGAAGGATCAAAACTCTGCCAAAGCTTATACCATTTTTTATTTAATTAAAATATAATGTTTGGTGCAAAACAAGTTTATTCATGGCAGCTATAACTAGCTTGTATGTGTGCCTGTGAGATTAAAACAAACGTACTCATCTCAAGTAAGATGAAAACTGTACTCATTTCCCCCTATGTGCTTAGGATCCTTCACTGTACAGCTTTACCTAAATTTAATTCCATGGACGCTTTATTATTCACGATTTTAGCCCCTACGAAAGTCACAGGCAAAATGTTGACAAGTGAAAAGGCAAGGGTGTTTTGCACTGTTAGCATGCTGATAATGTCTTCCATTATCTCCCCCAAACATTCTCCTTCAATTAATGAACAAATAAATTGTTGAAGGTTGCTCAGAAGAGTCTGCATGAGGTTGACAAATAGAGCGGGAGTTCTCCTGATTCCTAAACTGTCTCTGTCCCTTTGATCTCTGTGCTGAGCTGCACTTTGAAGTCAAACTGATCTGCATTAAGTTGCATCCTCTTTCACTTCTGCATCTCCTCTCACGTTTTCTCTGAATCTCAAGTGGCAATGTCATCTTGAAGAACAAAGTGGCAATGTCATCTTGGAGAACAAAGGGGTAAGCATGGCTTCTTTGCTTCTCCAATCAGTTTCCTATCAAGAATTCTGAACGCCTTCCAACGAAAGGTGTGCTCAAAGCAAAGATGCATTTCACTAAAGGTAACTTCTTCTGTTGGATACAAACTCTAGACTTCATTCAAAAGATTGTCAAAGGAGAGAGAAAATTCAGTGAAATTTTCTTGGGCCCAGTGACGGTGATGCCGAAGCTGGCCCACCAGCTCCCCCAGGCCCTTGGACAAGACTGAACTATTCCGGAAGTGTCATGATTCCCCCATTGCTCAATTAGATATCTAAGCAACTGAACTTTACAGGGCCTTCAGCTTAAGGGTGCAGAGAGGACTGCGCTCATGCTGCTGCAATCTTACACACACTTTCGGGAGAGTAAACCTTTACTGTGGGGCTAAACCTGCCTCGGCAGCTCCCCCCCCCCGCACTTCTGCAGCCATCTGAAGGGTTTCACGTGTCTGGACAATCCGTCCAGGGAAGGAAGGAGGGATCTGGTTGTGGGTGTGGGAATCTGCGAACACTTCCTCCTCGCCCTCGCCCTCCACGCCGTGACGCCGTCGTTGCCCTTTTGTGACCTTGCAGTGAAGCTCGCAGGAGCGTCTTCTGCGGGGATTTGCATGGCGGCACCTCGGAAGAGGCGTCACAATAGTCCTCCTCACTAGAAAACAAAGGAAAGGAATAACGAAAAAGTGAAGGCCCCAGCAGGGGGAGGGTCTGTCTCTGAGGGGGGGGCTGCCACCCGGCCCTCTGCTGCTCAGCCCCCTTTTGCTTCTACAAGACAGGGAGCGGGAAGAGAAACTACCTAGGAAGAGCCGCACATGGTCTTGTAGGGCCAAGAACTACAATTCCCGGCAATGCCGCGCTCGCCCGGCGCCGGCCAGAGAGCAGCAGAACAACCGCCTTGGGGCAGCGCGCTGCATGCCGGGAATCGCAGTCCAGGCTCCGAACGGTAGGACGCCACAACGTCCGTCCCCCTCCCTCCCGCGCAAGCGCACTTGCGCGCAGCTGACCTTCACGAGCGGCGAACGGAGAGAGGGGCGGGTTATGCAAATGAGGGCAAGCCGCGCAGCCAATCGCGGGGCTGGGCTGGCGCCGGAGGCCCGGATGTGAGGGAGCTCAGAGGGGTTTTCCTCCCCCCTCCGCCCCGCCTCTCTTTCTCCTCGCCGGCGAAGAGGCGGGGCTGACCTCGCGCGTCTCCCTCCCTTTCCCCCCCTCCCTCCCTTTCTCTCTCCTTGAGGAGCCGCCGGCGGAACGCGGGCCCGAAGCACGCGACGGGGCGGAAGATGGCGGCTGGAGAGCCCGGCTGCCGGACGCGGGAGACACGCCGCCGGCTGTGAAGGGGGAAAGGACGAGGAGGACGAGGAGAAAGAGAAGGGCAAGGGGAGCCGGCGACGGAGGAAGAAGAAGGAGGGAGGCCAAGAGCGGCTGTGGGCAGAGCCCAGCCCCCGACCTCAGGGGCCGCCTCGCGCCCAGGCGCCTCAGCCCCAGCCTGAGGTGGGGGTTCATTTTTGGGCGCAGCTGAGAGGCGCCTCCTGAAGAGAAAGAGGGTCTGGGAACGGGGGTCGTCGCTCTGAGGGGCGCCGGGCATCCCCCTCCCTCAGGGGGGGCCTCGAGGAGGAGGAGGAGGGGCCCCCTCCCTGGTCTGAAGGGAAGCACTTAACTGAGGAGAAATTGGCGGGAGTCGAAGCCGTCTCTTTTTGGGGAGGGGGGGGCTGAGCGCCCCCACCTCAGAGCCCCATTCTGGGCTGTGAACCCTCGCTCTGAAGAGGGGCTGCTTTCAGTGGGGGGCTGACTCCCCCCGTTTTTTATTGTAGATCTGAAGCGAGCCTCGTGGGGAGGGGCAGGGGGTGGGGTCCTTGACCCCTGGCCTTTTGGCTAGGGCCTTATTTCCGAGGAGGAGCTGGAACTCCCTCCGGTGAACTTTGACGCACTTGGAGGGCCTTGGGAAATGTGCACCAGGGGGAGAAGGGGTCCCGTTTAGGAGGAACGCAGGTCACGGGGAGCTAAGCGTGCTCACAGGAAGGAAAAACCTGCCTCAGCTTGGAGCCGTCTTGAAACTTAAGGCATTGCTTCTGTCTTTTATCTCTCATTTGGGTGGGAAGGATATGTAATGTAGTTAGTGTAGAGGCCCCTTCTAGAGAGAGGCAGAGAGAGAGACCTAAGAGCCGAGTTTTCTTTTTGGAGAGGGTGGGTAAAAGTGGTGGATAAGGAAGTCTCCAGGGGACTGAATATAGGTATAGAACATCTATATATCTATATCAATATCTATCTATACACACACATAAATATATATATATATATATACACACACACACACACGAAAAGGAAAGGGCTCTATTTCAAGGTTGAAATAACCTTTTTGTTAGAGAAGTGTTCAAACAAGGCCCCCCCACTTTTGGAGGGGTCCCCACTGGGAACCCTGGGTCTTGGGGTGGCCCTAGTTCAGAGCGGACTACGTTGGCTCCGGTGGCACATCTGCCCACGGTTTCCCTCGTTGCAGGCGGTCGGCTGCTGGGCTCCCCACACCATGTTCTCAGTCCTCTCCTATGGCAGACTGGTAGCCCGGGCAGTCCTAGGTGGCCTTTCTCAAACAGACTCTCGAGATTACAGCCTGGTGACTGCCAGCTGTGGCTTTGGCAAGGACTTCCGCAAGGGCATCTTGAAGAAAGGCATGTGCTACGGGGATGACGCCTGCTTTGTGGCCCGGCACCGATCTGCAGATGTTCTAGGTGAGTGATGTCTGAGGCTGGTCTTTGTGTTTGTCTGACTTGCCTGTCTTCCTCCTCATGTTTGAATGTTCTAAAATAGCACCCCTAGGTAGTATTTGAAAAGGCCTTATAATTGCATATCTGCAGGCTGCTGTCTGAGAGCAAAGTGTGCCAGGGAGACAGTGAAGTAGATTCCGTGATTGTGGGGGGCTCCAGAACTGATCTTGCCCAGTCTAGGTTCTAGGTGTGTTGCTTTGCTCATCAGGTCCTGTCCCTAATCGCTCCTCCGCAGTTCCAAGGTGGCTGCTACGTTTTTTAAAAAAGCATTTTAGGTTTCCCAAATAGCTTGAACTTAAACTCTTAAGGTGTCCCTCCCCCCCCCTCTAACCCTGCAAATGAAACAAGCTGTTGGAAGCAAACACTTCCTGCCTTTAGCGCACCTTGTGTCCTTGTCAGGTGAAAAGCAAAGTGACATTGAAAGCGGTTTCAGATGTCAAGCTTCTCTCCCCACACCCACTTTACTGTGGTTTCAAAGCTCCCTGCAGATCATCAGTGCAGTGCAGCTGTGCTGTGTCAGATGTCACAGGAGCAAAAGGGGGAAACCTCCTGAGTGCAGGCCCTTTGTGGGGGATGTGGCTTCTCAAATGCCCTTTTGCTTGCTGAGCAGCAGCAACATGAATGTAGATTGCTAAACACTCCTTGGTATATGGTTTATTTAGAGTTGAAGATTGCTCTTGTATCTAAACATATTATGTTAGTGAAACTTGGTGTTGCCATGGTAGCTTCATGTCTGTTGTAATGAGTGATTTTTTTTTTAAATGTTAGTTGGCTTTGAAACAATGTTTTGAATAGTACATTTAAAAGAATCTTGTCTGATGCCCATGCTGTAGTTCTGGATATGGAGGACAAAGAAAAATATATCAACCTTGGTCATGCAGCGCAGTTCATCTTTGTTCTTAGGCCATAACCCACAATGCAGTTTGGCTGTTCAAGTGTCTTATCTAGCATATGATCCATGTTGAAGGGAAGGTCAGTAGAGTTCTTCCTTTCTGTCAGTAGAATTTCTTGCACTGTTAATGGAAAGGGAGTGAGTGATGGATTTCTATCAAATGAAAGACTGATTGGAGTCTCCTTGGTTCTGCATTGCTCTTTAATAGTATAGCTGGGCATTTTTCCCTCTGGCCCTTATTTTGGTTGGATTACAGTGAATTGTATGGCAGGGTTTGATGATGTTATGTCATTATGTTGCAGTAGTCCTATGTAAGCAGCCTTGTAGTGTCACTGAAGTGATGCAGGGATTAAATCCTTATTATTTTCATTTTTAAATACTTTGTTTCCTGTACTTTATTACCGTTACAGCAAGCAGATTTTATTTTATGTATTACATTTATATCCCACTTTTCCTCCAAAGAGTTCAGTGTGTCATATGTAGTTCTCTCCATTGTAATTTTTTCCTAATTCTTCAGAAAGTGATTTTTGTGGCTTAGTATTCTTTGGATGACTGTTCTAACAGCCCCCCTCTTAATTTTGATTTAGGTGTTTATGCCCTCTTCAGTCAGTTAAGACTGACTCCTAAAGCAGCTTACAGTTGAAATCCACCACACATTTTTGTGTGTGTTTGTGTTTTTGGGTGCACTCTCTGTGCGCTCTCTTCTGGCCCATGAAAATACACAGGTTCCAGGCTCTTTCCTGGAGAAGGAGCTATAGGTGAACTCAGGCTTGCTGGGGACAAAGATTAACCTCTTGCTGTCATTTTTCTATTGGTTCCTTAGCCCAACCCACAGTGGATGAAATAAAATTCTCTTTTTGTTCTTAGTTCTCCATTTAATTTTTTTTTAAAAAAGATACTTTTATTAGGCTATATAATTGGATATTTTGCCCTTCTTTCCTTCTGTTTGCCCTTCTTTCCCTGCATGTTTGGTAACCATGTTAGCTTTTCTCTGCTTGGTGTCCTGTGCTCTGCCTGCATCTTTTGTTCTAAATTTCAAATGTCTTCAGACACTTATGCAGCTTAACTGTTCTGGATTATCTTAATTAATTTTATACAACCTATAAAATAAAATGCAGAAGAGCTTGGCACAATTAGATATTTTTTATATAAATAACAGTGTAGAATGTCTTTAGCCAAAGAATGAGTTTTAAATGTGTTTCACTTTTCATTCAGTCCAAATTAGCTTTATATATTACTCATTCGCGGATATAAGCATGCCAAGAAGATCTCTGCCTTCAGTTTTGAGAGTCTTTGTGGGCTGGGTATGGGTGTGGAGTAGCCACATGAGCTGCTCCCATCCAGTGGAAAAAAAATTGCAAGAGCACTTGGAATCTGCCCAACTTCCAAGTCCCTGTTTGACCACAGTTAAAAAAAACACACCCTTACACATGGCCTTTTTCTGTTGTGCAATTACTAGATCTGAAGAGCAGCCCTGCTGAATCAGACCAAAGACCTGTCTCTTTCTGCTTACGATTCCCAGCAGTTGGTATTCAGAGACATACTGCATCTGATACTGGAGCTATTATGACCAATAGCCATATCCTTTGCAGCTCAGTGGTTACTGCTGCTGTCCTGTGCACTGTTGCAATCAAGGGGGCTTAATTCTAAGAAAGGCATTCATAGTACTGCACTGTGTCAGCTGTGAGCCAGGAAGCCCTCAGTTCAAAACTCAGCTATTGTACAGTGGTACCTCGCAAAACGAATGCCTCGCAAGACAAAAAACTCGCTAGACGAAAGGGTTTTTTGAGCTGCTTCGCAAGACGATTTTCCCTATGGGCTTGCTTCGCAAGACGGAAACGTCTTGCAAGTTTTGTTTCCTTTTTCTTAACACCGTTAATACAGTTGCGACTTGACTTCGAGGAGCAACTCATAGAACGCGGTGTGGTAGCCTTTTTTGAGGTTTTTAAAGCTTTTTGAGGTTTTTGAAGCTTTTCCAAAACTTTCCCGACACCGTGCTTCGCAAGACGAAAAAAATCGCAAGACGACAAAACTCGCGGAACAAATTAATTTCGTCTTGCGAGGCACCACTGTACTATCTTAGCAAGTGGATTAAGGCAAAATATTTGCCCAGCTTCAGGCACTCTCCTGCATTGTGGGAAAGGTAATAATGGCCTTTCTTGTAAAAGGGAAGAGGTTGTCAGCAGTTGACTGCTGAAATTCTTACATTAATAGAGTAGTTGTGAAGAAGGGCTTTGAACGCTTGCAATACGCTATCTTTATAAACGCTAATATGTTCTGGAGCTACATGGCGACTTCCTGCAGATACCAGTGCCTTGGCTGCCTGAAGTGAGAAGGTTTGGTGCCAGCTGTTGGTGATTGTACATGTTCTGGCCTTTCACCTGTAACTGCTTTGCTAGCTTTCCTTTCATGGCAGTTATTGTAAAAGATCCTCCATAGGAATTCAGGAGAGATCAGGGTCTGTGGTGATGAAAATTTTAACTCTGAAAGGCTTACATAAAAAGAGCATGAAAAGTGATTTTGTTGCAGAAGTTGAAGGTTCCT